CGTTTCGGGGGCCCGAGTCATTTTTACGGGCACATTTTTTAACAGCTGCTATTTCAGGGGAAGAATTCAGCTCGTACAGGTTGCATCGCCGCTCGAGAGCAGGGCGGTAACAGCGCCGCAAGAGCGTGCGACGCCCCGGCGTGACAAGGCACGGGGTCAGGTTAAAGGCTCCCGTGCCGTCCGCCGACGGTTAAACCGCGGACGCAAGAGTCAAGGGCCGGGCTGGCGGGAGACTCGCTTTCCCAGGGACGGCGGGCATCATCCTCCCCCCGGCTTTATCACAGCGTGGCCTCCGAGGACTGGAATCCATCGGGGAATTTCCCCAGCTGCTTCCCCGACCGTAAAATCTGAACCATCCCGGCCTCGTTAAAAAGGTTTCCGTGACACCAAACCCCGCGGCGTCAGCGAAACGAAGGGGTGACAGAGCGAGAGCGGCCAAGCGACGAGATTTTGGGAGGCGGCAGATCTCACGCAAAACCACTTTTTCATCTCTCTCCGGCCGAGGGCGACGGGAAACCGGCCGCCAGCTGAGCTGCCAAGTGCTGCTCAGCGCCCGGAGCTCGGGCACCGGCACGGCTAGCGGCCCTCACGAGGAGACACGGGGGGGGGATTAAAAAAAACAAACAAAAAACCAACTCCGGAATGAAGACTTGGAGCCCGCGCCGGGGCGACTTTGCCAGGAAAGGTTTCTAGGTGGGGCAGCAGAAGTTCAGAGGTTGAATTAGAAAACAGCTTCCCCGTTTAATTGCGTTAAGGGAAAGTTAAACTCCGTCCCCGGGGTTGGAGCCCGGGGCAAGCTCGGCGCCGCCGGGGACGCTTAGGCAGCTCCTAAACCTCCGCCAAAATAATAATAAAAAAAAAAAACCCAAAACAAAAAGCAGGCAGTTTTGTCACATAACACCACAGCGCGCGGTGCGGGGAGGGGGCGGCAGGGGCAGCAGTGGGCTCTGGCCGGCCGGCAGCTGGAGCTGACAGCCTGCTTTCCTTTCCCACTCGCGGCGTCCCAGGGAAGGAAGGGAATCCCGTTTGCTCAGCGCTGTCGCCAGGAAAACCGGCAGAGCGTTCCCTCGTTTAAAGGGGGAAAAAAAACAAAACCAAAAACAAAAGAAAAACAAAAAAACAAAAAACCCCCCAAGGCAGAGCACGGGACGCTGTTCCGAAATGCCGGTCGCCCCAAGAAACGGGGACGTGAGAAGAGCTGTGGGGAAACCGAGGCGGGAAACAGGGAGCCAGAGCTCTCTCCCAGAAAACCGGGTCCTTTCAACAGCACAACATCCATTCCGAAATGCCGGTCGCCCCAAGAAACGGGGACGTGAGAAGAGCTGTGGGGAAACCGAGGCGGGAAACAGGGAGCCAGAGCTCTCTCCCAGAAAACCGGGTCCTTTCAACAGCACAACATCCATTAGAGGGTGGGGGGGGGGAAAGAGAAAAGAAAGAGAAAAGAAATCATTTGGATAATTACGCATTCGTAACAAGTTTATCAAACCAATTCAAGCTGGGGAAAGCGCGATGAATTTGCCTCTGACCAAAAAAAAAAAGCTGGTTTATGTCAAGGGCGAGAGCGGTTTGAAACGCTCGTTAAAACATCCGAGTGGAAACTCTTACCCCAGCCCCGCTTCCACTGCCAGCTTTTTCCAGTCGATAACTCAGCAGAACAATGAAATTAAAGCGCGGGGCCATGACAAAGCCTACGGGTCAGGAAAACAGGGCTGGG